AAGGTGATACAGTAGGACTGGAGACTCAGTCTTCCTATCTCTCCATCCAAAACAATCTACTTAACAAATGCTCATTGAAGAACTGACTTCATGCTGCCTCTCATTAGCACTATACTCAAGATAATTTTTAAAACAGGCCAAACTTCTTTTCAGTAATCCAAATCCAATACCAGAAATGGTGGGAAAAACAGGGTCAAGGAATATAAAAGGTCTTGGGCAACTTCAGTTCTCCCCTCCTCCCCACCCCCAACAGCAATGGCAGCATGTGCTCCCAGAGATAAGTAAAAAGAGCAGTCTACCCTTTCCCAAGCAGGAGTACACATCCTGAGCATAGAAATGTCTTACTTTTTAAATGGGTCATAACATATGTTTTCTAATAACAAGTGTTGAAGAGAAAAATCACCGTTGCTTCACATAAACTATCCGACTAATTACATCTAGCAGGAGAGGCCTGTTCAGATAAACCATTATGGTGAACAGGCCATTAACACCCTGTTGTGCAGGGGTTTTCCATCTAGTTATGAATGCAGAGCTAAAGCCTCCAGGCACAGCCAATCTTTCTGATATCTAGGACAAAAAGAAGTTTAATAGCTCTTCAAGAAATCCCCAATAACTTACGAATCTAACCTAAATCAGTCCTATTAATTTATTACTTATATATAATTAAATATACTTCTATTATTATTACTGAAGGTGGAGGTCCACCATCCTGGTGCAAGCATCATCACCTCAGCCTGAACAACTGCCACTAGCCTGCTCCCACTAGCCTGCTCCTTAGTCTCCCTGCCTCAGCTCTCTCCCTACTCTGGTCCATCCTCAACTCAACTCAACTCCCTTGGCAATCATAAATCTGTCAAAGTGATCTTCCTAAACTACCAGATCTGATCATATGTCATCAGCTTATATTAAATAAATGTCAATGGCTCCCTATTGCCTCCAACATCCAATATAAAACTCTCTGTGTTTTAAGGCCATCCATAACCTGACCCCCTCTCTACCTTTCCAGTCTTCTCACACCTTAGAATTCCTACCCAATATGCCACTGTTCAATCCAGTGACACTGGCCTCTGTTCCTGTTCATTCCCAACAACATTCCATCTCCATCCCTCCTTTTCTCTGGCTGGCCCACATGACTGGAATGTTTTCCATTCTCATCTCTGCCTCCTGGCTTTCCTGCCTTTCTTCCAGTCTCAACTAAATTTCACTTTCTTTTGTTTGTTTGTTTGTTTTTGGTTTGGGGTTAAATGACTTGCCCAGGTTCACACAGCTAGTAAGTATTAAGTGTCTGAGGCCGGATTTGAACTCAGGTCCTCCTGACTCAAAGGCCAGAGCTCTTATTCACTGCGCCACCTGGCTGTCCTTCAAAATTGTACTTTCTATGAGAAGTCTTTCCAGGCCTTCTTAATCTTAGTACCTCCCTTCCGAGATTATCTGCACCTTACCCTGTCTAGATCTTGTTTACACATAGCTCTTTGCACATAGCGCTTTCCCCATCAGACTATGGGCTTCTTGAGAGCCGGGGCTGTCTTTTTTGCCTTTCTTTGCATCCCCAGAGCTTAGCACAATGTCCGGCACATAGAAAGCACTTAGAAAATGAGAGTTTGCTGATGACATAACCCATTTTGAGTTCAACAGCAGACCCTTGAAGAGAACTAAGTATTTAGTACTAGTAAAACAGTACTGGGTGCAGATTCAGTAGATAGATATGAAGGGAAATCTGCCTCCAAAGGACACAGGATGGACAAAGAGTTAACTTCTAAAGTACAAACCTATTATGAATTATGAAAGGGTGTCATAGAGATGTAAAGATGAGAAAGAACATCAGGTTCAACAAGACAGGAAAACTGAAGAGAATGAAATAATCTGAACATACAAATTCTCTCCTACTTTTAAAAGTCTATTTCTTTTTTTACCTAGAATAATTTAAGAGACAAAGATAGGGGCATAGAGAGACCAAGGAACATGGAGACACAGAGAGAGGGACAGAGAGAGCAAGACAATATGCATATAGTAGTACACATACAAGGAATCTCTAAATGGAAAACTGCCCAAATGAAACCTACTCAACAGCTTTCAATCTGTTCTCTTTTGAGACCCTCCCTAGCCTACCAACTTTACGGGGTAGTTTCTGTATCTGGCCAATGCAAAAGAAAAAAAAACCTGGGTAAGGAACATCCACATATAGGCCCCAATGCAGTTCCTTTCTGGGTTGGCCATGTTCACACTATGAACCTAAGACTTCTCAAGAATAAGATATGATCTCTACCATTCTTATACCTGAGGTAAGGAGGCAAGACGAGAAGGGGAAAGAAGGAGGGGGGGTATAGAATTTGGAACTCAAATCATTTTAAAAATATATTTTAAATTGTTTTAAATGTAACTGGGAAAAAATAAGATATTATTTAAAAATTTAAAAAAAGAATGTAGATTAAACCTAAGTGTGTCATGCAAACATTTTTCCCCCTGTAACTGGTTGTTAACATTTACCAGCACACTCCTGCTTGTATTCCAGAGCAAAAGTCAAACACAATGAAGCAAAGCAAACTTTGCCACTATTTTTCACATATGGAATTCATAAAGTTCATATAGATTTCCTTTGTCTTTCATATTTTTCACTGGCCCAGACTTTCCAACCATCCCTTCTCTCCCTTGGCAGGCCCAAATCTTCTGACAGCTCCAATTTCACCAGAGCAAGAGAACAAAAGCATCGTCCTCCATCACATAAGACTTAAAGTTCCTTCACAAGCACAGTGTCCCATGAAAATCAAATGAAAAATTGGACAGAAAGAAGAGGCAGAATGTGTTCATTTTCTTTCAGGGGCATAACAATTTCTTTCAAGCTCTCAGCATGTTCTCATTTGTCATGAATAAAATGAACCTTCTGCTGCTCCAATCCTGTTGGCGGTGCCTCATAAGGATAAGAATGAATAAATGAACAAGCACCTAGTGAGTGATCGCTATACAACACACACAGCTGCAGAGAACGGGATGTAGAAATATGAAAGCAAAGACAGTCCTTACTCTCAGAAAGCTTACACTCTGACAGGGGAGACAATACATATAGGGGAGTGGTGGCCAGCAAGTGAAAAATCTGAGGAATGCTGATTGGCACCATAGAGGAGCATATTAACAAATTAGCAAGTTTATTTGATTGTACCTCCAAACCTACAGTGGGAGAAGGGTTGCAGGAGAGGTAGGGGAGGATGGTAACATGGTAGCCAGTGAAATAGCCAGGGAATGAATGAAGTACAGCTAGAGCCAGTGCTAGGTGTAATGGACCACTGAGGGAGCCACTAGTTAGCATGCACTTCCCAGGGCAGGTGCTCCAGTCATAAAAGGGTTAAGTCCTCTAGGGCTTAGTAGACTCTGGGTTAAATCTTGGAGTCTAGACATCTAATACCAGTGGAGCAAAAAGTTCTGTACAGTTCTATCAAGCTGGAAAGTTTGGGGCTAGCAACAGACTGTTTATTTTATTTGAGGATTAGCCTGGATAAGCTCATATTGATGCACCACCGAATGGCTGATCACAAAGTAATTAATATTTTGGGCCACGTCATCTCATGAAGGCTACAAATTAAGGTCTAGACAAAGGGAGTTACAATCTGCATTACCAATGTAACCACATGAATTCTTAAAAGTACTGAAATCAAACCATACCAGATGAAGAAAATGATCTGTCTGGACAGAGGTCACGAACAATAAATTAACAAAATAATTTACACCCCTTCACAGAGAAACCACATACAACATCATTACCTAACAATTAATAAAAAAAAAATAATCCACTCTTGCAAATGGCTTTAATCCTTTAGATTAAAGGTCAAATCTGAAATACATTTAGGCTCTTCCCTAAATCAGTCCAGTTACTCAAAGATTTTCCCAGTTCAGGTAGGTGGAGTCTCCGAAGGAGTCTCTTGGGAATCCATGTGTTTCAACCCAATGTGTTAGCCATGTACCTAACAAATTTCTTCTGCGTAAGCATCCTCTCTGTTATCTGATCAACTTTTAACAAACCCATTTCTAGTTTATTTTATTCTGTAAGTTTCTCTCCCCATACAGCACAAGGTCAGCAAAGCAGTGAGATGGGGAGAGAGAGAGAGAGAGAGAGAGAGAGAGAGAGAGAGAGAGAGAGAGAGAGAGAGAGAGAGAGAGAGAGAGAGAGAGAGAGAGAGAAGTCTAGAAAGGAACAAGGATCAGTGGGTCAAGATGACCAAGACAGCTTTGCTGACTTTCTTTGGGATTGGGCAGCTAGGCAGCATGGTGAATAGAGATAGAGGGCTTGACCTGAGTCAAGCAGATCTGAGTTCAAATGCAATCTTAGATTTCCTAGCTGTGTAATCCTGGGCAAGTCACTCAACCTCTGTCTCAGTTTCCTTATCTACGCATGGGGATAATAATAGCACCTACCTCCCAGGGCTGTTGTAAGAAACAAATAAGACAATATTTATTTAAAAAGTGCTTTACACACCTTAAAGTGCTATATAAATGCTAATAATAATCATTGTTTATCACTGTTATTATTATGCAACAAGAGAATTTCTATCCTTACAGGTCAACAGTATAAACTAGGGAGCAATTGAGGATACATTTGTTTCTTTTCACACGGAATCTGCGTAATGATGTTGTTAGACCTAAGCCAGACACTGAATGTTTCTCAGGGCAGGGAAGCTACTGCCTCCAAAAAGAAACAAATTTCTGAGAGAAATCAGAGGAATGTGGATTGGAACATGCTCCTGTACAGTTTGGAAGGACGAGAAGGATTGGGACACTTCTTCCAAGAAGGAGCGGCTAGGGTTATAATTTACTTAAAGTTCCTCCTCCTCCTCTAAATAGGGTCCTGGAGGCAAACATCAAAGACACCCCAGCCAATACAATAGAGACCCTGGAAAGTATTATGTGACCTGGCAAATCAAAACAAAAGGCAGAACTTTAAGTAAAGGCCAACTGTCTACAATGCCATTTAAAAGAGCAAAAAGAAAGAGAGGTAAATAAAAACTTACCATCGGTCTGAGATTTACTGAGGAATATTGTGCTGGCCCGAGGGTGGTCTGAAGGGTTGAATTCCATGTTCAAATCTTTAAAGAAACAAAATGAAAATACATGAGCAACACTACAAAACTGACAACTGATGTTATAGTAATTGTCAGGTTTCCTAATGATTAAGTTGATCATATAGTTAGATACCCTTAAAAAAGAAAGAGGGAGGAAGGAAGGAAGGAGGGAGGGAAGAAGAAAAGAAAGGAAGAAAGGAAGAAAGAAAGAAAGAAAGGAAGAAAGAAGGAAGGAAGGAAGAAAGAAAGAAAGAAAGAAAGAAAGAAAGAAAGAAAGAAAGGAAGGAAGGAAGGAAGGAAGGAAAGAAGGAAGGAAGGAAGGAGAGGGAGGGGCAGCTAGGTGGCGCAGTGGATAGAGCACCAGCCCTGAAGTCAGGAGGACCTCAGTTCAAATCGGGCCTCAGACCAAACACTTGACACTTACTAGCTGTTTGACCCTGGGCAAGTCACTCAAACCCAATTGCCTAAAAATAAAAATTAAAAAAGAGAAAAAAAAAAGAGAAAGAAAGAAGGAACAAAGGAAGGAACCTGTTCTTGTGATAGTAAACTTTTTGGGTTTCAGTTCAGGGTCTTAGAGAAGGGGGAGGAAAGAGAAATATGAAAAATACATATATACATACACACATACATACATACAAGATAAACACTTAGGGCATCTGTCTACCAGCAATTTGCATTTCATTGGAGAATGTTTTCCTTCTACTCCAGGAGCTTGCTAAATCACAGTAACAAACAATGTAACCTGGAATTACAGAATTCTGTAGGCTCCCAGACTGAGTAGCACTCTTTGGAGAGAGAAGCATCAGTCCTTTGTGGCATAGTGTCAAGAGCACATGTTTTGGAGGACCTGTGTTGGAATGCTAGATCTGCAATTTAGTGACCTTGGGCAAGTCATTTAATCCTTCTAGGTCTCAGTTTCCTCATTTGTAAAATAAAGGATTTGAAATAGGTGACTTCTGAAATGCCTCCCAGCTCTAAATGGTTGTTCCTATGAAGAGCAGGGAACTCAGTAACTAGTCTAATTAGTGTCTCCAAACTCTACTTTGTCGAAGACTTTTCTTCGTCCAAAAGCTAAAACTTCTCTCACGAATTTGCTCTGTATTGTAGGAAAGGATTCTTTTTTCTTCTTTGACAGTACAAGCATCTTAGAATCCACTCACTGGAAGCAGTTTCTTTGACAGTACAATAAGCATCTTAGAATCCACTCACTGGAAGCAGTTTTCCCATTCATTTAAAAGACAATAAGGATTATCTAGGGGCTAGCACACCAAAAGGGGAAGAGGTCAATAGAGATATACCACAGCGACAAAGGAAGAAGCAGGGGAAAGTAGGAAAAATGCTTAAAGTAAATAGATTACTCATCAAATTAGCTTGGAACATTAAACACAGAGTTATATAAATGAGTTTACGACCTAATTCAAATTCAACCACTGCTGCAAAAAAAAAAAAAAGACAACAACCAGAGAGAGTGGATGGAGGAGGGGTTGGACAGAATGAACAATAGGGAACAGCACTGAAGAAGCCAAGGGAGATGAAATCACCAAGAAAAGAGTGGATCGATGGGGTTAAAAGCTAACAAGAGGCCAAAGTGGATGAGGACAGAGAAAAGGCAACTAGATTTGGTCATTGGCTGGTCACTGATGATCTTGTCAAGAACAGCTTCAATGGTGGGGAAGGGAAGAAGGGGGAATGAGGAACAGAAGCCAGACTGAAGTGGGCCTGTGTTTCTCCTGTGCTGATCACACTGCCTGGCACAGAGTAAGTACTTGATAAACGTTTGGTGAATTCACTGGTGAAGGAGGCAGCTTTACAAAATATGATCAGTAAACAAGATAAAGCTTTTCTTGTTTCAGAGAAGGAAGAAAAGAAATCACAACCACCAATACTTCATAAATGTAGGTTTGGCTTCGAAGCTCAAGGCACTATCATTATTTCCAAGCAATAAATAGGCTCTACACATCCCCTTGACTACTAAGCACAAAAACTGAAAACTGCTGAAGTGTGGAGGTCTCTCCAAAAGTCAATCAATTGGCCTAAATTTATTCCCTTTCTCCTGGCATTTTCCTCATCTCCTTTCCCTGGGAAGAAAAAATGTTTGTATATCTTCAGCCCTTCAGAATTCTCCCCAAAACAAGAAACATGTTGAGAGCCTTAAAGAAGAATCCTTATTTTTCTCCCCACATATTCAGGTAAAAAACTCAATTTCTGGAAAGATAGTCAAAGTGAGACAAACAACCTAGGAGATTCTGTCTGCCCACCACACCCCCTTCCAAGGAACTATCAGCATATTGCAAAAAGCAGAAAATGCTCATCATTAAGCCGCTTGTTATCAAGAGTGTCTATAAAATAAATAAGGACCAGACTGGGCCTCAGTAGCTCTGGATTCTCAGATCAACCATTTCAGCACTGGAAAGGATGGCTGAAAGTCATCTACCTTTATAAAACCATGCCTGAAAAAGCATTCCCTTTACAACATCTCTGACACGTAGTTGTCTACCTTTTGTTTGAAGACCTTCTCTTGAGGATGTCCATCCTCCTTCTGAATTACTCTAGTTATTTTGAAGTCTTTCCCAATATCGAGCCCAACCCTGTCCTTTTGCAGTTTGTACCCACTGCTTCCAACTGCCCTGTGGGACCCAAAAGAACTAATTTAACCCATCTCCCAAGGCACAGACCTTCAAATAAATAAAGGTAGCTATTGTGCCACCTCCCGCTTCTAGTAAGTCTTCCATTTTCCAAGCTTAAGGTATCTCCATTTCCTCTAACTTATTTTCAGAGGCCTTTCACCATATCAGATGTCTTCTTCCATACATGTTCTAACTTTCTTTGATGATTGCAACTGAATGCAACACTCTAGACCTGGTCTGACCAGGGCAGAGAACAACAAGATTATTACCTTCACATTCCTGGCTTTTCACATAACCTCTCTGAACCTCAGCTTCCACATCTGTAAAAGTCATTCATTCAGTAAATACTTAAGTGCTTACTATGCAGGGGTATGCTGGCAAATGTTTAACATCCAGCTTTTTTTTTTGGAGGCAATGAAGGTTAAGCAACTCATCCAAGGTCCCACAACTCATAACTGTCTGTGGCCAAATTTGAACCCAGGTCCTCCTGACTCCGTGGTCAGCATCCACTGTGCCACCTAGCTGCCCAAACAACCAACTTTAAAAAATGGCCACATGATACGCTTTTAAGTTTAACCTACATTATTAACATTTTCCCAGTGCTTTCTTAAGTCTAGACAATCAACAAAGCAATAAGTCAAATCCTGCTTTGTGGCATTTGCCATCTTCTGAGGTATAAATCTCACACTAAATATTTAGCAATTAGCTCAAACTGGTACAAACCAGATGCAGCAGAGACACATAAAGATATGAGGAGTCTAACCACATGACTACTACCATTCCATGATTCTAAGAACATTCCTTTCCTTATATAAGTGGCAGGATTTTTTGCCCCCAGTATGCCTCTGAGAAGCTATGGATCCAATTTTAATTGAAATGGACCATAAAGAACTAAAAAAAAAAAAACCAAAAACAAAAAGCCAGCCAACAGCCAGGCAAGTACCTGTGATAATGGTGTCTAACAGATTTAGACTGGTAGGTCACACAAGTGAATGGGCAACGAATGTATAGCATCAACTCTCAGGCCCCTGAGAAGGCTCTGAAGGGCTTTTAAACAATGCACTCACCTTCCTCACGGAGCCCTGGTTCTCTCTTGCTTTTCTGTCCCTTGCCTCCTTTCTCAGCCTATATCCCAGCCCTCTCTCCCTCAAATTTTCTTTTCCTATCATTTTGGAACTATGTTTTCATTAATATAAAAACTCCTTCCATGGATGTAGATTGGCAACATCCCTGTAATTTATAAGGAGATGCATAGGGCACGAACAGGTTAAGTGATCTGCTTGTGATCTGACTAGATGTCAAAGACAGAACTTGAACCCAGGTCTGACTGATTCCCAGGCCAATCATTTATGCACTATGCCAGGGCTGCCTCTAATCTCCTATGGAAAACAGCCCACTAATCATACAAGAGAAAGCAGAGACTTGAACAAGTGAAATTTTCAGTCAGAAATAATTGAGACTTCATTAGCTCTGTACCTGGATTGTTGGACTCTGCCTGGCAGGATTCATCTGGCATTCCCAGGGATTTTATCCAAGGCCAAATGACACTTTCATGTCTAGTCCAGCAACGCCTGGTTTGACAAAAAGCATTTTGTACTCGAGCCCACTAGGGAAAATGGTTATGAAAGTCAGCCCGTGCATTCCTTTACATATGTTCCTGTAGAAATCACTCTTCCTGTCATGCCTATCTGCTGGTCACACACATACTTTCTCCCCTGGCTGAGGGTAGGAAATAGAAATCAGTAGGGGATTAGGACAAAAGAAGATTGAGGGAGAAAAGGCGTTCACCCTCGGATGAGGAGATGACAATTAGCAGTTTTGCTTCATAAGAACAAAGGATCTAGAACTCCAAGGAATCTGATTCATAGGGCCTATCATAGCCTTGTTTTAGACAGGGAATGGTGAACCTAGCAAATAGGTATCACAATTTCTGTGCTTCTTGGTCACTATTTCAGTTCCTCATCAGAAGCCTAACAAGTCTTGTAAGATACTGCATTTTGTATTAAGATGAAAAAGGAATAGAAATCCCCATCACATCTTTTCAGTTTATGAAAGATTCATGGAAAATTCAAGCTGGGAGGACATTAGAGATCCTCTCATTCAACCTACTCATTTCATAGATGAGAAAATTAAGGCCCAGACAATTAAGTCAGTTGCCACAGGTTGGAAATAGCTGGTTTAGTGGTGGAACTGGAATTAAAACTCGGGTCTCTAAATCTGGGGTTCTTTCCAGCATACTTCACTCCCTCCCACCATGACAACCATCACCATAGCTCCAAGTAAACCAAATATATTAAGGGTGACTCAAACAGTAAGATAGGCAAGGCAAGTGAAGACAGAATTGGTGCCCTTCCCCAAAATCTAGGTCCACATATTAAAAGATCCGTCTCAAGTTCG